TTTATTTATTATATATATATATATATATATATATATATATATCTTTTTTTTTTTTTCGTCCATATTGTATACTCCATTCTTCCTCTCTTTCTCACACTCTCTCAACCGTCTCTCCCGTTTTGCAAACTCTTCCCCTCTCATTTCTACTTAACCTTGCCCATTATCACAGATATAAATAAATGTACTCTTTACAAAACAATGTACAATTTCCTCTATCGCGCTCCTTTCTCATATTCTCTCCTCCCAATTTTTCCTTCTCTCTCTTTCTCTCTCGAAGCAAATCACGCACACTCACTTACTTACACGTGTCAAAGTATAAAATGATTTCTACAATTAGTGTTGTTTTCTCTCTCTCTCTCTCTCTTTCTCCTCCCTTGCTTCTCTTTGCTTCATCCCCACATTCTGCTCGTTCGAAATAAATTGAAAGGAACAATTCATTGTACCAATAATATCGAAAGGAGGGACACGATATACATGTACGATATAAAAAAATAATATTAACAATCTCGAGCACCGTGCACCTTCGAAACCACGGGTCAAAGGTTGCCCTTTGAAAAATTTCCAATTAATCGGCGCGACCTATCGTATTTTCTATCGTCAAAAACCGCGAAATTTAATCCAATTCAAAGGGATCCAGGGGACAAAGAGATCAAAATTGTTATACACATACGAACACGCACGACGTATACACTCACTCACACACACACACGCACGAGTTATTTTCGTATAGATCGAAATGTTTCATTTCCACGAGGTCGTGGATCACGAGAAACGTGAACAATCGACGAGCGCACGATCTAATAAAAAAAAAAAAAAAAAAACAATATATATTGCACAGAGTGTGAAGGGTTGGAAGTAATACGAAAGAAATACGATGCTAATTAAAGCGGAACACGTTGTTATCGCATCGTCGAAGTCTCGCGTTTGCAAGAGAAGTCCAATCGCGAGTGCACGATACCCACCGCGGAAAAAGGACGAATTTTTTTCTTTTTTTTTACACTTAATCAGTTTATTAATCATTCTCTTCACTGCACCATAATAATCATCCACGATGGACAAACACTCGAGACAGGAGTGACGAACTTCTCAGTCGGTTTCACCACACTGTACACAACAGTCGAGAGTTGAAGCTCGAGTCAGCAGCAGAGAAAAGAACATTTCGAACAGTCTATAGGAGTAGAGTAGTATTATCAAGTAAGGAAAATGTCCAGTTCGTCACTCCACTTCCACGCCATATTGTAATTTTGAATCAGTTTTTATACATGGACTCGACTTCACCTTGACAAATTTTCCAAAGAACCCCGCTATTTTCTACCAGCCACCATAGCCACTTTTCAACACGAGAGAATATTTCATCGGGAGTTTAATTAAAGAGTTACTCTGGTAACAAGTGTTAAGAGTAGCGCCTGTGCGATCCGCCTTCTTCTTCTTCTTCTTCTTCTTCCTTCCCCGCCTCCTCGACGACGCTGTGACCATCCTCGACGAGAAAAGGAGAGGAGCCGGACACGCGAGTTGGTGTTGAAAGATATTGAGAACTTTGTACAAGAATTTTGTCGCTCGTCTAATATTATATGTATTCGTTATAAGAGTAACGTCCACTTTAAAACATCTGATACTCTCCATCGATTTTTGTAACTAGCGTAAAAAGATTTTTTCCAGGGGTGTATATTAATAAACTTTACCAGATATCGTATGTCTGTGAAATGTGAATTGTGCCCTAAAGAGGGCACTACTACTACTACTAATAATAATAAAGCAATATAATGTCACAATAGTGAACACGTGTTGGGACTGTGTTGCATTTATTACTAACGAAAGAAGGTTAGTTAGGATAGACGACGTATTTCTGTTCACTTTTTTAGTGTGAAATAAAATTTTTAAATGGCATAAAAAGAACGGTCGACCGTCCTCTCTCCTAACACACACAAAAAAAAGTAGGGGCTCGAAGAAGAAATTCTATTTTCGTTTTATCTTCGCCAATAACGAGGAGCGTAAAAAGAAAAGGATAGGCTAATAAAAGAAAAAGGAGGAATTGAAAACCTAAATATTTAAAGGAATTTACGACTATTGGTGCGGTGAAAAGAAAAAAAAAAAAATTAACTCGTTTCAAAAAAGAATTCTTACCCTTATAACGAATAAATACTGTAATGGAACGGTCATCCACGATCGCCATCAGGACACGCTCTGTTCGCGATTGGAGCTGAAAATGGCTGTTATTTTGCACGTTGCCCGTATGATTTGCGGGTCTTGGCTGCTTGGATATCGGCAAGATCCGCGGGACTGAACAGATACAGATGGAACGAACGAGAAAATAATTCTGCATAAACTCTCGTCCCCCCTCCCCCCCCGCTCCCCCTCCCCCTCCCCCTCCCCTCCCATCCACAATTTATATATATGTACAAAACGACCTACGGTTACGGTTTCTTACCGATCTCTCTTTTAGGTCTCGAATCATCCGCGAGATGTCGCAAGTGATCTCGTTATTTACAGGGAATCGAAGAATTGGTGGTTGACTAAGGTGAAACCCTCGGATTTAAGGATACGGCGAAACGGCGAGGGTTAAACGTGGACGATCTCTTCGAAAATTATAGGCGATTCTCGCCTAAAAACTCTTCTCTCCTCCGCGCAACGCCACGAAAACATGATTCAGCGCACGTCTCCTCCTCAAACATCTATCTATCTATCTATCTATCTTCCTCTCGCGGTCGAATCTTCTTCCTTCCTTCCTTCCTTCCTTCCTTCCTTCCTACGTACTCGTGCGTAAGCAGGCACTTCGACGTAATTCCCTTAATTCCTAAATCTCCTCTGAGCCGACTGTGGCGCGCGCGCGCGCGCGCATTCCCCATTCGTCTTTCCGTGCCCTCGCGTCACGATTTATGTTTCTCAAGGACGAACTTCCATTTCTTTTAGAGTATATTCTTTTTTGCACCCTCGCTTAATTCTTTCTTTTCTTTTCTTTTCTTTTTTTTCCCCCTAGTTAGTGCCTCTCTCCTTCTGGCGCAGAAATCGCAAATCCTAAAGAATCCCTCTGCGGGGAGAGGACGTATTTATTTACACTCCTTGCGCCCTTTTTTTCGATCCTGCAACAGAAAGACAAGAACAGTGTCAGACAGACTTTTTTTTTTTTTTTAGCATTTTTAATTTTGCGGTTGCAGTGAATATATATATATATATGAAATGTGAAATTTGAAGTTTATTTTTTTTTTTTTTTAGGTAAAAATTTCAATTTCACACGCGCTATTTCGATACGACAACGCATCAGTTTTCGCCGCTCGAATAAAATGGTGTCTGTCCATCGCACGATTAGGGTCTCTAAAATCGTTTCCGAAACGATTAGGTCGATAGCAACGACAATCGCGACTCTCGCAATTAGGCGGTGGCCGTTTATGGCCAGGTTAACCGGTCTATCGGCATAAGACTTGCGAAAATATCGTTTGTACACTCTTAACCGAACTATTACCGGGGTATGTGGCTATCGTTACTTCCTCTCCATGGATTTTCCAATAGTTCAGTGCACTCTCGCAGAATTATTTAATATTAGTAATATTATCGAAGAGTAATTTCATCTTTTTAAGTACTTAGAGTGATAAAGTAAGTAATAAATGAAGCAATCGAAAAAAAGTATATACTTTTAATTTTAAAAGAAAAAAAAAGCAATCTCGAGGAAGAGATTCGATCTGGTAACTTTTACCTTCCTTTGAATAAATAATAGAAAATAAGAAAAAAAGAAGAAATCTTCTAAAAGAATCTTCTCCTTTGTCAATCGATAAATAAAATTACCACACACTATCCATTACAGTAGACAATTGTCCACAAGTAGATACAAGAAAAAAAGAGAGTGTACACCAACATAACCTCAACTCTCGAAGAAGAAAGAAATTCAATCTAGCAACACAACTTTCATATCCAATGATTCATCGACGAGCAAAATAAATGAAAAACAAAATATACCGCACTATATCCGTAACATTGAATAACTCTTCACAAGTAGATACATCTACAAAACAAAACAAAAAAAAACATCAACATAACCTCAACCTTTGACGATCGTACGTTAACGTTTCCACCAGAAGGCTTACTCCACGGCTTTTCGCAACCGCGGCCAGATGGTCTGTATGTAAACGACTTGTAAGATCATAGTTAACTATTAGCGTTCCGCAATACACGTCGACGTTGCGGTGGATCGGGCCAATATACGTCGTGGCCGCCTATCGATACGCGATTACCCCTCCGTCTCACCTGGTAGAGACAAGTGGTGCTGGCTCTCAACATGCACACAACGCCAATCGCCGAGAGAACCGATAAACCAACAACTTGCCTCTTTCTTCTCGGTTTGCACAACACGCTGTTGCAAATGGAACGTCGCTAACGTGGTTCGTCACACGTTCCTCCGTACAACCAGTTCCAGTGCGTGGCAGCGTGGTTATCGTGTACCAATGGCCATCCCGTGATTAACGGGATTACAGGCGACCTCCCGGCGTCTCTTGATGGTGGAAAATATATTCGATTTATGGGTTCACAGAAAGTGCGATAGGTGTTTTCGTTCTGAAAGATTCTGGTTAATGGTGAAGATCTGCTTTTTTTCTTTTTTTTCTTTTTTTAATTGGAAAGCAACAGGTGTTCGAAGAATGTTCGTTCGGAGGATGAGAATTTTTGGTATCAATTTCTGACCGGTATTTGGAAATATGTGTTTTGTTTGCGTTATATGTTTATCGAGTTTGAAAAATAAAATTTATGACTCTTTTGGTCTCTAATGTTAGCTAGATCGATATCGGATCGGTAAAACAATAAATATTTGGCTCACTGCGTAAAAAAAATTAATTAATCGAGGATTGTCTCGAAAAGCGCAATAATTCAACTTCTATCTCGTTACGTAAGAATTCTTCGAATGAATTTGCATACGTGACGACAGCATCCAAACGGATTCCGATCGTGCTCAAATGCCGAAAATCACCGGTATTCGATCATTATAATTGTAGCTCGAGATTCACGAAACCTTTGCAATTATACGTAATGTTGATACATTCGTAGAGAGGATAATCTCTTCGATCATATATATTTGTAATCTATATCTGTGTATATAATTATAAAAGATTTATGCTTATTTAATAGTGAATTTCATAAATAAATGATCATCAGCTTCTTCGAATAGTTCTCTAAAACTGCTCTGTCCCTCTTTGTTTTTCGCCGGTTATCATTCTCTACAATCTATATTTTAATTACTCATAAAGATAAAATAAGGATCGAATTTCGTTTACCTGGTGGCTAGATTCTCACGGTCGCTCTCGAATCGTTATGAATTTACGACAAATAAATAACGAAGCACCCTCTTCACCGAATTCATCTCATTAACACACTTTTTCCTACATTGTCCAATAGTTAGGTTAAGTTATGCAGCGCGTCAACTCCTCGCTACTTACGAAGAAAAAACCTAAAAGATCGAACAGCTTCAATTCAATTCTAATTATTAACGTTCGAGAAAATGGAAGATACGTCTGAGAAACCGGGTAGACGCGATTAACTGCAAACACGTTGTTTCGTAACGTCGCTTTTCGTGTCGAAGATAATGTGCGTGGTACGGATAAACAGGTTTCTCGCGTTCCGCTAGAGGGACTTGTATTAAAAGCTTCGCAATTACGGAGAATACGATAGCACAAATGATGGTTCCGCTTTTTTGACGGGAGGAGGCACTGCTATCGATTCGGTCTAACCAATGAAATTCCGTTCTTTTTTAGAAACGAAGCGACCGTTGAAAGGTGAATTTTCGTGCGCGGACAATGATGGTTTGTGTAGTCTTCTTGCAACTATTCGACCGTGTTCATGAATATTCTCTGGACGTTTGAATAAATGGATCGAAGTTGGAGACTCTCTACATCGTGTCCGATGAATTTCATATATAAATGAAAAATACATGCGCCCCGACGGATCTCTTTGAGCGAAGGAACGACGTGTCTTTATTGGACGAACAAAGCGAAACAAGAAGAGGTGGAGTAAGTTGGTTTTGAATATATGTTGAAAGTAAAGTGGAACGTTTGACAAGAGTTCTATCTATTTGTAGATTAATATTAATAATAATATTTTTAGATTATTTGAAATATACATTCGTTTCTTAATCCTCGATCTCGTTAAAAATGAATCTAAATTATATATTGTTAGGGAAAATGAAAAGCAGTAATAGCATTTTGCGCTTACTTGCGATCTATCTTTCAATAGATAATTTTGTGACAAATATACCACAAGTATATTTTCGCGAAACTCGTTGTAATTTCTCCATACAACTAGTATCGTTTCACCAAAAAACGTAGCCCAGTATACGGAGCTTTAATCATCTTGCAATTATTTTTTCTCCGCCGTACGATCTTTCTCAGTCTTTCGAGCATAGCATTTCAAGAGAATCGCGCACACAACGAGCGTGATGGACGGACAAGGGAGACTCCCCCGTGTAAAAAGTATCATGAAAGTTGGTTGCACGCGAGAAACCGCGTTCGAACGTGGATCTCCTCGAAACGACTTGTCGCGTAATTGCGCAGCATTTGTCATCCGGTTTCGCGTCATTTCGAGTTTGGAACGGAATGGAGAGGAAATAAAGAGAGGTGCGGCCATACCGACGGATAGCCCGTGGCGTTTTGAAATATTCGTCGGCAACTGTCACACCGTTGAAACATCGAACAAATGGGCTACATAGAGTTTCGTTTAATCGGGATTCACAGCTTCCGGCAAAAATTACCGCGCTGATGTAGATTCATTCGTCGCTTAATTGTTTTCCCCGACGCTTATTAATTTTAATCGAGCTTAAGCGAATATATTTCTTGATCGATTAATTTATGTCCTGCGTTTTTTATCGCGCGTTAATAAATTTAAAATTTTTGATCCCGAAGGCCGCTGAGATGCAATCTACTTTGTATTTTCGAGAATATAACGCGAAGAAATTTTTAAATTGTAATTAATTATTTAATAGATAAGCAATTTTAACAACTTTATTACAATCTATAGACTACAATTTATTTATTTTACACATCTTGTATTCACATGAAAAATCCTCGCAATCTTGTCAGCCTCGACATACCGATCGTTAAATTACGGATATTTATGCAAAATTTGAATACATACGTATGATTTGAGGAATGAAACGAATCTCTGCTTAAACGGATTTCAATCTAGCATAAAAATCCCTATGTTATTGATCATGTGTACATAATACCGATCGAACCCTTCCATCCCTGACCGTTTAAGATTGTACCACTTCATTTTTCCCCTATCCACGGCCGAGAAACAGCAGCATTCCACATCCAGAGTGTGCACAGAATCTCCGCCGCTAGGCGGAGGCGGTCTATCGGCCGCGGTGATCGTGGCAGCGCGCGTACACGGACTTGTTCCCTAGGTGAGACACGGTAATCGCGTATCGATAGTCGCATGCCGTGTAAAACGTCGATCCACCACGATGCTGGCATACATAACGCTCCTCTAACGGCCGTGATATATTCCATACGGTTTTACGCGCGATTCGCGTTCCTCTCAATTCCATCAGCAAGCTTATTTTCGCATCGTTTCTCCTATGTCTTCTTGTCCAAGTTATAAATCGCCTCGATTTTCATTGAATAATCGAACTGAATAAAAAGTGAAATGTAGAGAGAGAGAGAGAGAGAGAGAAGGTACAACGAAAAGGAAGATCGTTCGGCCGAGAGGGAATTAATTCAGCCAGAAGGAATTAATTTAGTCAGGTCGTGCATCGTCGATGGTAAATGAGACATTTTTTTTTTTTCTCCTTCGATCGTTTACGAGTACGATCGAAGCCCGAGAGAAATGCAAATTTAAATGTGCATGTAAATTATGTTTTATAAGTACAAAAACTTTGGGAAGGATGATTTGCAGTTATACTTTTGATATATAGTTCGACCAGAGCTCGAAAAAAAAAAAAATACGATACGATAATAATATTACAATGGTAAAATTTCTATATTTTTGATTGTTTTTAAATAAAAAACATCCATGAGATTTTTGAAATTTTTCTGATTAAAATAATATTAAGTTCGATATAATTTGGATCGTAATATTTATTCGTTATAAACGTACAGCTGGAAAAACGAAATTCGATCTTTACGTTATTTTTGTGTAAGGACGGTTAATAGAAGACGAATTGAGAGAAGTCAGGCATTTAAAAAAAGTTTACGATGTATTCTTTCGGTGTGAAATTATCACGCTTCAGTGGATCCGAAAACGAATTCGCCCGAACCTTGTCGATGAAAGCCGAACGTATATTCGCGAGAATAGCTCAACGGATATAACGAATAAATTGTTCTATTACGTTCAATTTTCTTTCTTCCTATAACACCTTTGTTAATAATATTAACAAAATTTTACAAATGTATATTTATTTTAAAATCCTCATCATCATTTCTCTATCTAATTTCAAAAGATTCACGGACAAAGAACGTGACACGAATCGGTCGCAAGTTTTTCCATTTCCAACCATTCTCTTTCTCTCTCTCTCTCTCTCTCTCCTTTCATATGTCCAATAGCGGAGCAAGATCCTTGGATAAGCCGGATTAAGATCTCTCGGAAGAGACAGAGGAGAAGGTTTCTCTGGTGTGACGGTAATTTACACGTAATCGCGACGATCATCTCCATTCTCCGCGACATAATAATTTCACGCGAATAGGGAAGGTTAAGATATCTGGTGGAATCGACACGTGCGCCAACCACGAAACAAGTAACTAGATGGGAGCGATCTAGGACGACGATAACGCGCGAAATTCGAACTGTACACGCTTTTGGGAAGGAAAAGGCAGCAAATTCGATAGGGAAAAGCAGGATTTAATTACCATATTGTTACCTTATCTGGTTTCATGTTCCCTTTGCGCATACCTTGGCGGGAACGAGCGTGAAATAACGATGATTATAAAATTGATTCTCGTCTAACTCTCGTCGAATACTCGTCGAAATTACCGGACGCGACGTCAACGTGTTTTCCGCGAGATCATGCCGTTACAAAGATTG